TATCTCTGCTAGTTAAGAAGCTATAAGCCAAAACGTAAAAAAGCATACCCTACCCATCCGCCAGCCTACTCCTACCTAACGCGTCTTTGTATGCGTGTTTAAGTGCTTTAACTACTTAAGGCTAAGTGCGTTGTTTGTCTAACTATTCTTAGAGACTAAGAGCTTCTAATTGTAGGGTATATCTATCTCCTCATACTAGGCAGAGATGTGGACGCGTCCTTTGTAGATGATGAAAGGTGGGGTTGCATACCCAGCGGCGCAGATGCTCTGGATAACGGTAACCCACTCGCGATCACCTGGCTGAACAAGCTCTGGCCAAGCACGTCTCTCTAAGCCTGTTACAACCTTTAAAGACAAAGCAATACCTATCTAGAACCTAGTTTTATTAAAGTTGTGCATGTTATTATTGTAAACACTATACTTAACTTAAGTATCCTCTACTAGCTTAAACTACACACTAATTATCTTAGGATCTTCCTGTAGTATCCTCTGTCTATCCTTAGCTTAATTAAAGACTATTTTAAGCTTGTCTAAACGCGTCACAAGCCTGCTAGCCTATAGTTTACTAACAGGCTCTTCACCACGCACACTAAGTATCTTATCAGCTATATCTGCCACCTTACATAGCTAGGGCGCAAATCCTTGCAAATTAAGGTTAAGTATATACTAGACAATTGTCTGCTCCTCTAGTATAGTAAGTTTCTAGCAATTAGTGTGTACGTCTAGTTAAAACATGATATTGCAAAGGCAATTAGAGACCTGCTAATAAGGTACATTTAACGCTCTAGCAGCGCTGTAGATACTGCGAAATTAGCCAGCATAGAAGGCCTAGATAGCAAGAATAACTCTGCCTTCTCTAGTAGTATTCTGAAGTTGTTGTTGTTAAGGCATGTTGTGTTAGGGTAAAAGGTGGTTGTGCCAAGAGAAAGTGGCCGGTTCGGTGATATGGCTGGCTCGGTGATAATCTACGTTATAGGTCTTGTACAATAGGATATAGAAAAACCACTCTACAATGCTACAGTTCCTTGCTCCTTATATATAAGGGTTTAGAGGCAGTTTGGTACAACCTCATGCCATGCGACAAGGGCCATGGTCATGAGTCGCAGGACCGTACCCTAGTGGTATCGGGTCATTGTTCGCAGCGCGATGTTACACTAGGAACTGTAGCATTGTAGAGTAGTTTTTCTGTATCCTATTGTACAAGACCTATAGGTGTAGAGAATATATCCTAGTGTTCTTATCATCCCAGCACTCCCATATGCCTCGTAGCGGATTCACACCTATTCCGCATATCTCTCTTCTTGCCTGCGTCGTTACAACTACTGCAAAGAGCGAGTCTGTAAGGGCAAGCTTAAGGTACAACATGTCTGCATAACTGTGATGGCTGCTAATAGTCTTACAAAGCCCCTTAATTAAGTCGCTTACAAGCGCTTTTTTGCCCAAACTAGACTCTCTAAGCCTACAATTATCGCCACTGAGGCCACTGAGCTTAACAACAACCCTGCCTAAGCCTCTGCTGTTGTTAGGCTTAACGCAACAACACACAAATTAGGTACAAAGAAGGATTTTTTATAGACACTGTTAGCCTCCGTATAGTACTTGCCTAACTAAGTCATCTTATCAACAGCAGCAGTGGTCCCTCAGCGTCAATTCACTCGCTGTGGGAGTGTGTTTGAGGCTGCCGACCTCTGATTAGCCAGCTCGTTAGTTTCTGTTCCCACACACACATGTAGATAACCGCTCTTCCGTAGTACCAAAACACACAAGATCGCCCACCACATTCATCAGCTGTGAGGTTGAGAGCCTTATCTGCCACAACATTAACCACATTACTAAGCTTAAGTTTCTGCCAGCGTTTAAGGCAGCATTTAGTTAATTATTTACCTTAACTAACATCTGCTCAGCCTTTTAAGGAGCAGGCCTTGTGCCTTATTAACCAGACACCTCCTCTAGCTCCTCTGCCAGAAGCTGTCTGGGAGGCTTGTACGCCTAGCAACGTACGCGAGCTTGAGGCTCAATCATCACTAATACGTGATCGCGTTCGGCAGCACAGGAGCTCATCACCAGCCTCAATTATTGAGGCTTTTAATCAGCTCAAGAAGGGACCTGAAGTAATGATGCTGTCAGCTGAGCTGATGCGCGATCAGATTACTAGTCTTGAGCGAGCCAATGAGGCAGCAACAACGCGGAGGCAGCGCAAGAGGAAGCGGATTCAGAAGCGAGTATTAACAAAGGGAGCTGGCGAGTATATGTTTGCTCAATATGAGGCTGACCAGCAGCTTGCCCGTGAGAAGCGTCAGGAAGGAGAGCAGTCAGGCCTTAGCCGCCAGGCTCTTGCGCGCTGCAAGAGGTGCAGGGAGGCTGGACACAACTTACGTACATGCAAAAAAGATACCTTTGATACTACTTAATCTACCCTGTAAATGTATATATATAATATTTTGACATTGTTGAGATATACACTTGGAGAGGTGCACAAACTTGGTGGGGGTGCGCCGCTCGCTTATAAAACACGTTACTTTGAGGGACCTGGTAGATAGCTGCAGCGTGTTGCTAGGAGAGATTCGCGTTCTTCTTTAAGAGCCTAGAGCGCAAGCTGTACCTGTACCTGACGTTCTTTTGACGCGTCTAGTTGATGCTGTTAAGTAGGCATAAGTGCATAGGGTGAAATTTGGTGGGGGCTTGGTAAAAGTGACTTGCTCGCCCGGTGACCGGCTCTCCCGTGAGGTACGTTAAGCTTATTAAGCATTGCTACTAGCCTACTATCCTACTAGGACTAGTGGTTGTGACTATTAGGGCCGTTAGCTGAACGGTAGGTGAACATTGTACGAACATTTTATGCCCGTTGCAGGCGTTGCAGGCCTACCAGCTGTACTGTTGCGCACAGTACAATGCCACGATTTCCCGATTTCGACAATGGAAAAACTGTTCCCAATGTAGGAGAGATTCGCGGCTTGTTTCATAGCTTGAAGCGCAAGGTACACTCTAGCTTCCTTTGAAGGTCCTGAATTGCGTTGTTGTTGTAGCATTGTGTTGTAGATAGAGATGTTTAGGGGGGGTCTTGGCAGCGTGACCGGCATACCTGTGCGACCGGTATACCCGTGATGTACGTTACAATAAAACATCTTCCACTAGCTAAATTCTAACATTTTATGTAGCTCTGCAGCCTCATTTTTGGGGTGTGCTTGAGGGCGCCAAGGTGCGCACGGGCCGAACCTGTGCACGGCGTGCATGGTCACTGCATGTCACGCAGGGCGTTCGGCAGATCGGTTGAGCCGACGAGTACCGGCACCTAGTGCCGGCGATCCCCCGAACCAGCCTCTCCTACGCGATGTCGCGTTTGCGCCGCCCGCCCCTCTTACCACTTTACACCACGGTCCTGATCGTAACTCCTTGTACTCTCTGAGACAATCAATCCATAGGAACTCGCTTGTGCGACACTGTCCAAGCAGTTCAAGAGCGACAGTACGCGCGTCTACCAGCAACGACAGCCATGTCCCGATCACACATTATCCAGGCTGAACCGATTGACGATGGTTTGGATACCTTTCGCCGATTTTTGAAAGCAAACCATGGGGATATTAGCGCGGCCAGCGTCTCGCATCTTCCAAGCCAAGGTACTATCGATAGATCCTTAGACGCTTTTATATTGAAAACGTTGTAGGACTGGACGAACTTGCTGTATACCTCATCAGGGTGTTGCAGTCCTTGCCCGCTGCTCGGTCACTTCCATCCATTGCTGGTCGCGGTACCCTTCGTAGTGATCTTCTACGACTTGAGCTCTCGACTGAGTCTGACGACTTCGACCTTACACGTATCATCCCCCTCCTTCGCGCCGTCCTCAATGACGAATCCGATGATATTATTTGGGACAAAGTTTACGACGCCGTGACGGAACCGACTCCACCTCCTCGCCCTCCTTTGTCTATCCTACAAACGCCGTGGCTGCGCAGCACGGGTAGCTTCGCCAACTCGACCGAACACCGCAAATACGTAGACGAGGTGCTAAAGGAGGAGCTAGGGCCTATGTACGTGGGTATACCTGGTTTCTTCGAGGCTTTCTTTGGGGAAGTCGCAGACCTCCAGCCGGCAACACAGGCCGTATTCAAAAGGTGCTGCGAAGGGGATAATCCGCTCTACCAAGAGGAAAGCGGCTGGCAGGGTTGGCCTGAGGAAGCGAAGGAGCGAGATGTCCTGCGCTGGTTTGCAGAAATAACGGGCCAACTCTCGGACTGGGCGGCAGAGCACCGGCCAGCCTCCAAGGCTCGTCGGCGACCGCTGGCACAGCCGCACCAGCCGTTGCAAGGCTCTCGGGCTGACCGCAAGTTGGATATTGGCTTTGTGGACGACCCGAGCGCCGGCGCGGACTCTAAATACCACTGGAAGCAGATTCTCGTACCGGGAGAACTTAAGAGCAACCCAGCGGCCGACGTAGCCTCCAAAGCATGGCTCGACCTCGGACGATACGCCCGAGAGGTCCTCGCCGCTCAGGACAATCGCCGCTTCGTTCCCGGCTTCACGCTGTGTGGATCCCGCATGCGGCTGTGGAACTTCGATCGACTTGGAGGGATCGCCTCCTCGCAGTTTGACATCAATAAAGATGGGCTACAGTTCGTTTCCGCTGTGCTCGGGTTCCTATGGCTGAACGAGGAACAGCTTGGGTTCGACCCAACCATCATCACAGCCGGGGGCAAGCGGTACATCGAGATCGAACGACACGACCGTCCAGAGCGCCTCATCCTTGACAAGGTCATAAAACGCGTGCCTTGTGTTGCCGGTCGAGCCACAACCTGTTGGAAAGCCTATCGCGAAGGGGATGAGTCGCGGGCACCCCTCGTTATCAAGGACTCGTGGCAGTACCCGGAGCGCGAGGAGGAGGGCGAGTTACTGCGTGAAGCAACCGAGAAGGACGTGGTCAACGTGGCGAGATACTATCACCATGGGACGGTTCGTATGGGCGACCAGGACGACACCATCCGTGGGCACGTGCGCCGAGGCCTAGATGTAACGAAAGCAACAAACTACTTGCCGGAAAGCAAAATGCGGCCTCCCGGCACGACTGTTCGCTCACTCTCATGGAAAGGCGGCCAAAGCAGCAGTGCCGCCGGACGGAAGCGATCCTCGAGCTGCACGAACGCACCCTTACCACCCAGCAAGCGAACCTGTTCAAGCTCTCCTGTAAAAAGTGGGAGGGCGACGGCGGATCGAGTGCACCGTCGCGTTATTATCCGAGACTACGGGAAGCCTATATACATGGCGAGTACCAAGACTAGCCTTCTGGCTGCTATGGAAGGCTGCATCGCAGGACATGAGTCACTGCATACGCGGGCTGGCATGCTTCAATGCGATATCTCGCCGAACAACCTGATGGTGAATGAGGACGAGGGAAACCCCTCCTGGCACTCGTTCTTGATCGATCTAGATCTTGCTATTAAGGAGGATCGCGAGAAACCGTCCGGGGCGCGAGGGAAGACCGGCACACGGGCGTTCATGGCGATTGGGGTACTTCTAGACGACGAGCTACACTCCTTCATGCACGATCTAGAATCATTTTTCTGGGTGCTCTTCTGGATATGCATTCACTACGATGGACCATCCCAGCAGAGAATTGTTCCGCGATTTGACAAGTGGAATTACCTAGACGCGGAAGAACTTGCTGCTTCAAAAAAGGGCGTCGTGGATGATGAGCGGGATTTCCTCAAGACTGCGAAAGAAAACTTCACGCCGTACTACCAGCCACTGATCCCTTGCGTAAACGGGTTACGGAGAAAGGTATTCCCTGGAGGCGGCAGGTGGAGGGACCCGAATCCAAAGCTGTACGATGAGATGAAAAAGATACTTTCGACAGTACGGGATGAGTTAAATCGGGCAAAAGGTTAGAGCTCCATTTTCCATGAGCTAGGGGAGCCTCCCATATTCAGGACTGCACCGATTCCTATCAATATGACACTTTTTGTATTAGTCAGCCTTACGATTTGTTTCTCAGTCGGACCTATACTGGGTAGCACGCTCACTTACCTCGATATCGAAAATATTTCCGAGTACGACTACCATTGGGAGAGGATTGCGGGAGTTGTTGTCGGCATTTGTTCAACAGGTCTAGTGATCATTGGCATTACTGCAATCGCGACTGAACCCTATTTAACAAAGGAGGTGTGCTACTGGCTTGACGCGGTCATTATGTGCAATCTCGAGCTTCTCACCAGCAACAATGTCAGCCATTCTGCCTGCCTTTATTGCTTGTTGCCTACTAACAGGAACCTTAGCTCGCCCGATTACTACAGATCTTTATCTCTCCTGGCTGGGCTATATGGGCAGTACATCTGGTGGCGACCTTAACTACACTAGACATTGTTTCTGCGGTTGTATAAGTGGATTGCATCTGTATTGAAGCTATCTGTTGAAGTCATACTTTTAAGCGAAGCTCGTAAGCACAGATTCTGTTGATTCTCGGGGATGAGTACGATCTCTGGAGCAGTAGGGTGAGTGTCAGGACTGGGCTCCGCCCACTAGGCCATGCAAGCAGCAAAAGGTGTTCAATGCTCACTCTGATAGTAAGCACCTACGCGGAACAGTACATATCGTTGCAGTAGACTAAGCAGTATCTGCAATGTCTTTTTTACACGTGCGTGAGTTGTGTCCAGTCTCTCTGCACCTCTTGCAGCGCGCGAGAGCCTGGCAGCTAAGGCCTGATCCTTCTCTATCTTGACACTGTTCATGCTAAATCTGCTGGTCATCCTCACGTTGGGTAAGTAGAGCCTCTGTAACGGTTGAGAGGAAAAGCAGATCACGTGTTGTTGAGCACCTCTTACCTCAGTTGCATCACAAACAGGTCATCAAAACAGACCCCGCAGCGAGCCTTGGAGAGCAAAAGGTACAAGCAGAACAACAACACAGAACAACACAATTCACTCGTTATATACATTTGCCCTTGATACCGCAACAACAGAACTTGGTACTTGGTACATCTGCATCATACCCTTCACCGCAAAAACGGCTCGAGCATAAAAGCAAAGCAAAGCATTTGGCTATGAGATAAAAAGAATCACAAGACATTGTTGCGTGTCCATTAGGTGAAAATACAAGCAAGTGCAGAGTGACAGCAGGTTCGAAACTCGTTTATGCTTGAGGGTTGCCATGTCAAAAAGCGAGAAGCGGCGGTCCTCCCCTTTAATTTACTTTCCAGATTCGTCATTTCTTGCTCTTGGTACAAAGATGGCTGTTAGGTTGGCAATCAAAGCTGCTAACCGAGTGCAGGTTAGACATGTTTCAAGACTTGTCACCATGACGGTACCATGGTACATATATCCGACCGCTCGTAATTTCTCAAAACGTGCAGGAGATAGATTCAAGACTGAAATGGTCATGGGAAGAACAAGAATGGGCGTTGATACATGCAGTCTAGGTCGCCTATCTCATCGAATCCGGTTAAGCGTTCACCTGCAGAATTTGGTACCTGAGTTGGTCAAGCGAGTGGCTGTAGATCTGATAGCTGATGCGATCTTCTCTTCAAAACGGAATGCCTATATATAACCCTTTGCCGCATTTATCAGGCCTTCCTCGATATCATCAAAATGAATCAAAGCACAGGTCTAACTAGCCCACTGGTGGTACCAAACTCTGGTCGCTGGATTGGAAATGACGGAAGTTGGTCATCGTAAGACTCCTAGTAGTTCGGAAGGATTGGCTACTGATCTTACCTAAGATTTCTGGTGCAAGTCGGCAAGCCCCCGCAGTTTTTCCACGTACTGCCAAGCATCAGTTGACAAGCAATTTATGTTCCCGTTGACAAGGACTGCGAGCCCCAACGCATGAACATCACTGATTGTGGTACAAAGCGCGGTATAGAAGTCTTTGATTCGAAACCGAGTCCTGGGTTCCAAAGAAACAGGTCGTCGACATGGAAGGAGGTGGGAGTTTATCGAATGGGTCTCGGAGCCAACCTTGGACTCACCAGTACCGCGTACTACGGATATGACAACATTCGCTTTGGATCTAATTCAGACCAGAATGCCACCCAATCAGAAAGATCAGCTGTGGCTGCATATGCGACTCCGGAGTTTTGGGTCGGCCAGCTGGGGCTGAGTCCCAGTTCAGTCTTCCTGAATGAAACCAATCAAGCGCCTTCGTTCTTGAAGATGCTGAAAGACGAAGGAAAGATCCCAAGTCTGAGCTTTGAATATCAAGCGGGCTCCCCCAATCGTAGGTCTGCTGATGTCGGTTACAGATCGTAAACCACAACTAAGATTTGCTAGGCTTGACGAGAGTCGCTGATAGCCTGGTACTTGGAGGATACGACCGTTCGCGCCAGACGAACATGACGCTTCTCGTACCTCTTAATCCAGATGCTGTCGTCGGTATGCAGTCCATAAGTATACAATCTATCAACGGCCCGACAACGAACATCCCCGGCAACGGCATCAAAGCAACTATTGACACCAACACTCCAGATGTGTGGCTGCCGACTGAAGTGTGTGATACGTTTGCCTCAGCACTCGGACTCACTTACTTCCAGGAAGCAGACCGCTACATTTTTAACGATACCGCACGGTCTGCAATTCAATCACTCTCACCCACCTTTCGTTTTGTCATTGGTACCTCGACGGCCGGAGGTGCCACAGTCACCATCGAGATACCATATGGAGCTTTCGATCTCCAAGCCACATATCCTATATTCGCTACTCCGACATACTACTTCCCACTCAGACGAGCTGCAAATGAGAGCCAATTGACATTTGGCAGAGCATTTCTGCCGGAAGTGTACCCGAGTGTTGATTGGGAGCGAAATGCATTCAATATCAGTCAGGCACTTTTCAATAGCCCGCCACTCCCACGAGATCTCATTACCATCAAGCCAATCGACGCACTTAGTGAAGTGTTTCCCCAGCCTTACGAGCGAGCCGGCGGCTCATCACTCTCTATCGGGGCAATTGTGGGCATAGTTATAGGCTCTCTTGGCATACTCCTCACTCTTGCTGTTCTCTGGTGGTGGAAATCCTCTCGGAGAGGATAGCGAAGGAGTACCATGCAGACAGAGTCCGAACCACCGCACACTCTTTCAACAGATGGAAAGGAAGTTGCACAACTATCAAGGACCAGAACAGCCCTTGAGCTTGAGGGCCGGGCTGTGAAGGAGCTGTACACGCCATTTGGACACTACGGCTACACGGAAAATAAACACTCATGACAGTACACAGAGCTTGTAGAGGCAGACTCAGTGTCACAAATATTTGAGTTGGCCGCAGCGATTCATAAAATCCCAGCTTCGAAGAGGTACTGATCAACGGTTGCATCAGCTGCAAGGGGGAAACTATTCGCACCCGTATCCATTGCAGACGTGAACAATTAAGTAGTCAATTCAACAGCTGTAGCGGCATGTACGTGATATTTCAAGGAGTGAAAGAAGTCCTTTGCTCCGACCAGAGCACACAAGCCACTCTAGTGAATTTGATTCAACTTAGCATTCATACCTGATCCGGTTACCAACGACCGCCTGAAAGCCTCAAAGGCTGTGGTCCTACATCAGGTGGCTTCCTGGGCGGACCAATTTACGACCCCGTTCAGTGAGATGCTCACGTGGGTAGAAAATCATCTAAATGCCACCAAATTGTGTATACTCTGGTCATTCCGGCCCTGTCATGCCATTTTCCCGAGACTAATCTCCCTGATTGTCTTGATTCGGCTTCAGAAAAGATGGTCGCCTTGACGTGTATAGATAGCGATGTCTCGCAGCTTACCAGTATACTGCCCCCGCGATTACTCAGAAGTAACTCGGCCACGGCAACACTATAACGATGAGCCCTGAGCCTTGAAACTTGACAGAAACATTCGATGCTATGCTATTGCTCAAATGAATGCCTTGCTAGTCGCAAGAAGGACTCACTAGCGCCTTTCCAGCCTACATGGACTTCCGACGAACCTTCGCTTAGTTACACTTATTTGTTGCGGCAGACGCAGCCGCTGTATTCATCGATGAAAAACTGCGTCGAGTTGCTTGCCAGCTAGGAGGCGACCATATATACATGCCCTGAGACGTGCTAGTCCAAGGTAGTCAACAGAGGTGACGATCAAGGCCTATGGGATCGACTTGCACCGCAACATTATTCCTAATCACCGACAGCATGATCAAACCGAAATTTCCCCTCTGACTCCACAGCCCCCCTCTCCTCTGGATATGATCGGTCTGAGGGACGCTGCAGTTCTGTAAGCCATGTTTAATTGCTCGCTAAATCTTTCATGCATCAAGCCAGATACGATTAACGCTAACAAGCCCCAGATCTCTGTCTCAGATCTGACGGCCACCAAAGCCAATACTGCTGCGCATGAGAGAGTCATATTTGGTGACCCAGACGACGTAGTCGCGATTGTGCAATCAGCTGCGGACAGTATTGTGCTCGATGTCCATCCTACAAGACAATCATTCAAATCGGATGACAACTGGCGATGTGAAAGTAACGTCTTCGTGATCGCGTTTAGTGGCTGGCTGGTCACGACGACAGCAATATAGTTCGTATGACCACAGGGTTCCGATTCGTGGTGTATGAACCACTATCAGCTACCAGTACCGGTACGGTAGGTAGGTAGCCCGTGCCCAAGCGAGCGTGGTACGATAAAGCCGCAGATGACCCTGCTTAGTGTTCCACCGAACCATCGCAGTCACACGCACCTCACTTTTGTAAATCGCACGCTCCTATATCACTAAAACGCCAAAGCGACATTTGGTGGTCAGTGTCTGTTGGCTCACTGTGCATAACCCTGGTCGTAATCTCCTTTCCTTGTCTCGCATATCGATGTGCTACTTCGGTTTCTGGCAGATTAGTTGGATCAGGCGTTCGCCCAAACCCTCTGTGAAACGGGTGGGTCGACGCGCTGGCCTGTCCCCGTGAAGAGAAGTCCACAGGGGCTGAACACATGCAAGGGTCCAGGCGCCTGTCACAATCACAGCACGGGACAAATAGCCCTGCGACTGGAGTACAATATGAACAGGCCCATCCCCTTACGACTATCAAGGCCCTACCTGTTCTCAAACTCTAATAACTACTAGCTTGCAATTATAACTTCTTTGCTGAACGTCTCACCATGGCCCCCGAGCGGTCGCCTCTGATGGCCAAACATGCTGCTATAGGAGAGTATGTGCCTGCTGGACCTAGCGACAAACGTAGTCCATGCCCTATGATCAACTCCCTCGCAAATCATGGATACCTTCCTCGCAACGGCCAGAATATTCTCGCACACGAGATTAAAGCCGCGATGGCAGAAACTGGGGTTTCAGAAGCGCTAGGCGCGATATTCGTAAATGCAGTATACAATGTGCACCAAAGTAAGAGCGAAAAGAGCAGAGCCGGATTGCTGTCTCGTCTGTACACCACAGTCCGCGATCCTTGGACGCTGCTATCAAGTTTCGGCATGCGCAGATCAGATCAGAAGGATAGCGCAGGGAGACCAGTCCTCGACCTGGATCAACTTGCACTCCCTGGCGCTGTGGAGCACGACATCTCACTCACAAGGCGAGATCACGCACAAAAAGAGGGCAACCTTGCGCGGCAGCATGATCTCATTGAGGGACTTCTTGCGACTTCAGCAGACCGCAGGAAAATCACCAGAACAGATTTAGCATGGTTCCGCAGACAACGTATCGAGACACAGCGTGAAGTCAACCCGGACGTGACTTACGGACCGCTGCAGCATGAGCTGGCGTGCGGTGAGATTGCGCTCATATTAGGTGTGTTTGGCGATGGGAGGAGTGCTCCGTATAAATTTGTGGAGCCGTTCCTGAGGGAGGAGCGCCTCCCGATTGCTGAAGGCTGGAAGAAAAGACAGTGGTGGACGCTTGGGGTGGTCGAAGTGAAAATCATCGCGATGAAAGTAAAGAGTCTTGTTGGCACGCAGATCAAGTAGCACAACGCGAAGTTGTAACGGTTGAGAGGAGAAGCAGATCACGTGTTGTTGGCGGTGGTCTGGTGCTACTTCCTCATGTTGTTGAGCACCTCTTACCTCAGCTGCATCACAAAGACGTCATCAAAACAGACCCCGCAGCGAGCCTTGGAGAGCAAAGATGCAAGCAACAGGACAACAACATAACACAATACACTCATTATAACGTAGATTATCACCAAGCCAGCCATATCACTGAACTAGCCACTTTCTCTTAGCACGACCACCTTTTACCCTAATATAACATGCCTTAATAACAACAACTTTAGAATACTACTAGAGAAGGTAGAGTTATCCTTACTATCTAGGCCTTCTACGCTAGCTAATTTCATAGTATCTACAGCGCTGCTAGAGCGTTAAACATACCTTATTAGCAGGTCTCTAATTACCTTTGCAATATTATGTTTTAACTAGACATACACACTAATTACTAGAAACTTACTATACTAGAGGAGTAGACAATTGTCTAGTATAACGTAGATTATCACCAAGCCGGCCATATCACTGAACCAGCCATTTTCTCTTAGCACAACTAACACAAGTTACTACAACTATAACTACTTGCTATTAAATAGTGACCTAGCATACTGCGTGCTTGCATTAGATTTAGAAGATATTTCTGCACCCTCCTAGCACATTTGTGTGTTATGTCTAGTCTTGCTGTAGTTCCTACAGCGCTAAACAGTTGACTAAGCTCCTAGTTGACTACCTCCACCCTAAGTCTTCTTAGATGGCTAAGCTGCTACA